ATCTTTTGTCCTACCCTCCCGTGGCAGCGGGGTCCATATTGGAAACTAAGGGATATTAAGGCTTCCTTTTAATAGAGAACTGGAATAAAGCATTAACACATAGTGAATACATGAACTCCTCAAACTACGATCATCACCGGAAGAAGTCCCGGTTATTGTCACTCCGGGGTTACCGGATCATAACACGTAGTAGGTGACTATAACTTGCAAGATCGGATCTAGAACATGGATATAATGGTGATAACATAAATGGTTCAGATCTGAAATCATGGCACCCGGACCCAAAGTGACAAGCATTAAGCATGGCAAAGTCATAGCAACATCAATCTAAGAACAGAGTGGATACTAGGGATCAAGCCCTAACAAAACTAACTCGATTACATGATGAATCTCATCCAACTCCTCACCGACCAGCGATCCTACAAAGGAATTAGTCACTCCCGGTGGGGAGCATCATGGAATTGGCGATTGAGAATGGTTGGTGATGACGAAGAACGAAGATCCCCCTCTCCGGAGCCCTAAACGGACTCCAGATGTGCCCTCCCGAGGAAGAACAGGGCTTGGCGGTGGCTCCGTCTCGTGGAACGCAATAATTCTTTCTCCCTGATTTTTTTCTCCAAAAATAGGAATTTACAGCATTGGTTTCAGGGTCAGCGGGGCCACCATGTGGGGACAACCCACCTGGGCGCGCCAGGAGAGGGGGGCGCCCTAGTGGGTTGTGCCCACCCAGGTGCCCCTCTCCGTCAGGTCTTGGCTCCAGAAATTCTTATATTATTGATATAAAAAATCCTCGCAAAGTTTCGTTCCATTTTGAAAACTTTTATTTCTGCACAAAAACAACACCATGGTAGTTCTGCTGAAAACAACGTCAATCCGGGGTTAGTTTCATTTAAATCATGCAAATTAGAGTCCAAAACAAGAGGAAAATCGTTAGAAAAAGTAGATACATTGGAGACGTATCAGCTGCCGCCGCTACGTTGGCCTAGTCAGCCGAAGGGTATGATCTGTTTATCCCTCATTTAGGCATTCATGTGCTAGCCATATATGTTGTATTCATGGATGTTTCAGTTCTATGTACTATACATGCTCACATGCTTAGGTATCGGTATGAGTTGCATACCGTGATAGCCATGCTTACTATTACTAATGGATTAGTCTAATTGAAAAAGTTCTGATATTTCTAACAGAGAAGAGCCCGAATTTCTCCAGAGGCCAGGCGAGGATGTCATCCATGACGTGTGGAGAGTTTTTTTAACACAGTACGAACACAAGCGCTCGTATATACACGTATACACTCACCCGTACAAACGTAGGAACCTGATCCTCTAACATTGAGAAGGAAAGTCACGGTGCTATAGTATTAGCCTAGTGTAAAATGAAGAAGGAAAGTTAGGGACTGTTAGTAGGTAGTTAGTATGTTGTTTACTGTTGGTATTTACTATAGATATAAATAATATAAAATTATTTTATTTTACCATCTATTTGTTTGTATGTAATTACTATAGATGTACACAGTAGATCATTAATTTGCAAAATAATTGAAGTCATTTTAGCCATAATCATATGGATAGAAAAGAAGGAAAGTTAGAGAATTTGAGAATTGTAGCTTCTCTAACTTTCCTTCTCAATGTTAGAGGATCCGGTTCCATAAACGCACACACGCACACCCTACCGCTATGAGTACCTTCAATTGACTGAGCCGGCATATCATCTTAAGATTTTACAAACTCACCGTAGACGCCTTGTAGTCGATGAAAACGTCTCCTTCCACTGAACGCGCATCACTGGAAATTCTGAAATAAATCCAGAATAAAAACGAGCATCGAGACTTGAACCCTGATGAGCTGGGAATACCACTGTCTTCCTAACCATCCAACGAGAGCTCTTATGCTCGTGACACCATCCATAGTCTTAATCAGATGCAACGAAAGCAAGCATCATCGGAAGGTGTGAGAAAACTAGGCGCGAACACGATGGGCCAGATTTGAAAATAATTTGTTTGAGGGGTCGAAGAGCGAATTAAGTTCCACAGATGGTCATCCAAAACAAATACAATAAGGGCGTGTTTGGTTACATTGCCAATCGAGCCTGGCTCGACGAGCCTGGCTCTAGTGAGCCGGTTTGAGGGGATGCAGGTAAAAAGACCCCCGATGCACATAGTTTGGTTGCCTGCATGTACCTTAGTTGCATGAGACAACTATTTTTGACCCGGCGTTTGGTTGCCCGCATTGCATTAGGCGCACATATAACATGGTGTTTGGTTGCAACCTGCATAAGGTGTTGTTATCACTTCTAATTAGCGGTGAGCTTACCACACACAATCTAGTGCCAGCTAGTTAAACAAATGACAGTTCATCCTAACTACTATCAAATGACAGAACAAATTATTAAGAGCCATTGGCTAAATAGGAGACAGTTCATCGGTGTTGCTGCCACCAGATCTTCCTCTTCATCTTCCTCTTCTTCTACTTCTGCTTCTGCTTCTGCTTCTGCTGCTTCTTCCTCTTCTTCAGATCCTGCACTGACCTCTGTTAAGCCATATTGCCTCTGCCCACTTCAACCTTTTGTTCTTCCAAGCGTCATTGTCAAATGCCTCCACACCATGGCCGGAGCTAACAACATCGTCAGGCTCGACCTCTTCCTCCTCAGGCACGTGTTCATCAAAGCCCCACTGGAGGATCCAGTTATGCGGAATGCAACAAGCAAGAACAAGCTTAACCTGAGTGGAGTATGGGTGGAATGGCTTCTGATCCAGGATCTTAAACCTATTCTTCAAAGATCTAAATGCCTTCTCAACAGTTACTCTAAGGCTGGAGTGTCTGAGATTAAAAAACTCCTGTGGAGTCCTAAGATGGTTCCTACCAGAGAACTCGTTGAGATGGTACCTGGTTTTCCTGAAGGGTGGAAGAACACCCGGCCGATATGCATAGGCAGCATCTCCAAGGTAGAACTTGTCATCGGGGATGTTGATCCCATCAGGTCGACTCATGCTGTCAGTGAGAATGTTAGCATCATGCGCTGACCCCTTCCAGCCAGCCAGCACATATGTGAACTTCAGATCAAAGTCAACAGTAGCAAGCACATTCTGGCTTGTGTAGTGCTTCCTTCCCCTATATGCTACAGACTGTGACCTAGGAACTCTGGCAGTGACATGAGTACCATCTATTGCCCCAATGCAATCCTGAAAATGGCATCACAAGTCTGTGTTAGTGCTCAACTTGAACAATACAAGCATATCAAGCCATGAAAAGTGTATATTGTCTCAATGCTCACCTTGAAGTATGGATACCATCTTGGGCTTCCGCGAATCTTGGGTGGAGTCCGGCCAGATGGTCTCATGATCATCTCTCCTCTAAGCGCCCCAATAGCAAAAAGCACCTGCTTGAAGTACCTAGAAATGGTCTCCATTGATCTCCTGAACGTGTTGTGAATGACCATGAACCTATGGTTATGGCCAACAACATGGAGGAACATGGCCACTTGCTCTTCCAAAGTGGTGTTGATGTTATCTTGTAGCAGCCCCCCTGCTTCTGAAGGTCTCGACAAGTCTGGCAAATGGTTCTTTTTTCATTCAAGGCATCCACAGAGCCTCGACGTCATTGCAGTTGTAGATGTAGTTCAGATTTTGAATCCTCTCCTGTTCTCGGATAAACATTGGACCATAGCAGATCGAAGGTCTCCCAAAACAACGAACAACTCTCTGGTGCATGAACATGACCCATGCCTGAATCACACTTATCAGTGGTGCTGCCTGAATTATCAGCCTCATCCGTGCGTGAGAAATCGGTCATATAACTTGCCTAATGGTCTAACTACCGACCTAACAAAGGGAGGAAGGGGTGCTGCTTACCGGCATCGGAGACGAGGACAGTGTAGGAGGAGCCATGGCACAGACAAGGTCGACCAGACGGTGGCCAACAACAAAGGGAGCACCAGATCCGCCGCAAACGCCTCCGCCTCTTCCGCCGTCGCCGCCTCTAGCGCAGATCTGAAATCGCAGCCGCAGCCAGTGGTGAGGCAGTAGGGAAGAAAGTGGCTATGGGTGAGCGAGTGGAAATGGGGGCAAGGCTAGATTTGGCGCCGGGACGGCGCATCAGATTTCCCATCTCCCGCCATCCCCCCTCGCTCCAGAAACTGCCGATCCGAACGTTTCCAGCGAGGCAGGCTCTAGGCTATTCGATGCAGGCCCAACAATGAAACCAGACAACCAAACATGCCTCTTCCTTCCCGCACGGGTCTGATTGGGTTGTATGCGGACACACAGGGGCTGTTTGGTTGCAGACTAGTGGCGCCACATTTGTTTAGCCGCACTTGCGACGCGCCACAAAGTTTGGTGTTGAAAACGAACGCCGCAGAGTGTGGCGAGAAATCAACTCCAAAAAACACTACATGTCTGTGGCGAACCTAACTTTAGGAGGCAACCAAACAGCAGCCTAGGGAGCTGTGGCGTGTACTGTACTCCGTCCTACGTGGCCGTGTACTGTACTCGCCATGCCTGCCGCATGTGTCCCTTTAAATGCATGCAGGAGCAGGCGCAGAAGCAGGGGCAGGAGCTGCTGGAAAAGCGTAGCGAGGCGTCCGTTTGTTCGTTTGTGCGTGCTGGTCAAAGAATGGCACGACTCTCCGTGCGCGACGGCCTTCTCGTCGACAGCGCGTGTCCCCTTCACCCTTGGTTAGCGGTAATGAAAATGCACTCAGACAGACAAGCACGCCAAACGACGTGCTCACAAATGAGTACTTGGTCGTCCAACCAAAGCAGAGCTTCTGTGCTTGAGGTTGTCTGCGATTCCATGCAATCTTCAGGAGGCACGTTAGACTATCCAAGTCCAACCATGAGTGCATGACTGTCTACCGCTGGTTTGGCCAGAGAAAACAAGGTTATCTCGAACGTTAATCGGAGAGCTGTGATAACTTGATCGTGAGAAAGAAGAACGTTAATCGGAGAGGTGGAACATGGTGATGTCAAACTAGGCAGCACTCCAGTAATTAACCTACAGTAACTAATAGTTGAGGAGGTTGCCGCTGATGATGTTGTCACTGTTGCAGGGGAAGCAGCCGCAGGACGCATTGCTCCCGGTCCCGGAGAGGTGGTGGCTGATCGTCTTCACCCGCCGGGCCTGGTGCTCCGTGGTGGCGCGCCGGAGCTGCTGCAGGTGCTGCGCCTGCGCCGCCGCGCGCCACTCCTCGCCGCGCCTGTGCACGCTCGTCATCCTCTTCATCAGCTTCTCCTCCAGGTTCGATCGCATCTTCTGAATCTTCACCTGACCAACACACATCGTCAAAAAAACGTGAGGGGTTCTGATCTGACACGGAGAAGAACATGTTCGCATTAAGTATCATTATCAATGCATCAGGGGGAAATGTTTGAAAATTCCTTTTGAATTCTATGTCTGCGATAATGATATGTTACTGACAGCACGGAGTACAGTACACCGTGCATTTGCATCGGTTGTAGTAATGTAGTACTACCACAACATCATTAGGATACAGGTCCTCATCTTAGATTAGGGTTAAACGACATTGTTTGGCTCTCCGACCGAAGATATTCACATGGCTACCATGACTGAGAATGGTAGCCCAGCTCAGCAGCAAAACCGGTTAAAGAATTGCAGTGAGCTGGAATGGTTAACAAGGATTGAGGGGATAACATCGAACAATGAATACATCAATGCTTCCACCCTTCTAATTTCATGCTGTTAAATTTGTCGTCTGAACTTCTGAATGCAGTTTATGATGGTGCCTAAAAGAGTTGCAATATGCATTATGCACAAGATGAGATTTCATTCTCACCTCTAGCTTTCTGGATTGTGCTTCAGCTTTGGCACTCTCCAGGTTAATCCAGGCCTGAATCTTTGCCTCTTCCCTCTGATACCTAATAACCAAATAAAGCACAACCAAATTACTACAAATCCTCACAAGCTACAAGATGCAAAATGCACACACCTTATGCAACTCTTGGCTCTCTCATCGTCTTCCCACCGGCACTCGGTGACGGCGGCAACCCGCTTATCGCAGGCTCTGCCGCCGTCGCCGGCGCTGGCCTCGAAGTGCCTGAGGCTCTTGGACACCTCCTCTTCCTCCTCCTCCTTGGAGCTCCAGTTGACGAGCATGGAATCGAACTGCGCGCCCAGGTCCAGCTTGGCGAAATGGCAGTCCGTCAGCTCCGAGATGTCCATGCCACTGCCGCTGTTGTACGGCACAAGGGGCCCCGACCGGCCCGTCGGCGTGTTGTGCCTTGCCGGGGAGGTGCTTTTGACCGGCGTGTGGCACCGTGAGGTCGGGGAGCTCCCCAGGGGCGTCATCTCCGTGCCGACGTCCCTCCGGTGGAAGTCATCATCTCCGCAGGTCACCGCCGCAGCGCCATTCTTGGCCGGCTCGCAGTAGGAGCTCCGGAACACGAAGCTCTCTTTGGACGGCTCCACGTTGTCGGTGTACTTGTCTGTAAAGCAGAGCATTTCTTGAAGAAGAATAAACACTGAAATTTCTGGTTAAATCCAAAACAAGAGTTGGTGCTCACCTTTGAGGAGCACCTCTGCAGGTAGTGTGTACAAAGCAAGCGCATTGGCGTCTAGTGAGGTCCTCCTCGCCGTTGCCGGCACCGGTCCTCCGATGTGGTGCTGCTTGGAGGCCGCCTTGCCATGGTGATGGCCGCGGTGGTCGGACGACTGCGTCAGCCACTTCTCCGCGTCCTCCCACTTGGAAGGTACTGACCTCCTCGAGGAGACGAGCTGGGGGTGGGCCGGGCTCGAGGAGGATGAGGTGAGGAACAGCAACGGCCGCCCCGGTGTCCCGGGGACCTGCTGCTCCAGTGATCTCCGCCCCCGAGCCAACGACGTGGAGGAAGAGGAGGAGGAAGTGGTGGACGCCTCGTGGTGGTAGCCGTGGCCATTGCTGCTGTTGCTCCTGGCCATGGCCGCCATGGGGAAGGAGGACCTCACAAACTCTGAGGTCTCCTCTAGGTGGAGGCGCGGAGTGGGTCACTGGATGTGGGCTCAAATGGGTGGCTGCTTCCTCCTCCTCCAGCCGCTGTTTGTTTGGTGACTTGGTGTGCTTCTGTTCTGTGAGCTGAGCTCCGCACGGAGCTTCAACTGCTTCAGACGAGTAGCGTCTGTGAGCCTGAGGTAGTACAGCGTCTACCCCTAGCGGAGCTTTTTAATACGTCTGGGCCTTTTTTTTTTCTAATCTTACTGATGATCATTATTATAGTAATACTAGACCATTCATTTACTACAAACAGGAGGTCCGTGATCTGATTCAATTTAAAAATCCCTTTACTTGTATTTCAAGTGTTGAAGACAATTCATTTGCAAGTCTGAATGTTCAGTGTAAGTCGGATATACTCTTGATCCTTCATTACTCTTGCACTCTTGCTGCTGCTTCACGCATGCCTACCGGGGTTCTGGCAGGCTGCTTGCATTATTACCAGCCCGCTGCCTACTTTTACTGTACTCCTATTTGTTGGGTAGTGCAAGGCCAACTCCAACCATAGACCTCGGTTTTGTTCGGATTTTGTTATTTAGGTCAGTAAAATGGATACGCGCATCCGCAAGCGGTCATCTTGCCGTTGGTGTGTCCAACAAACCGTCGTATCTCAAATTTTGTCCCTTTTTGGACTTTCAAAATTAGACCCGAATTTTGAGTAAATAGAAATTACAAATAATTTAAAATGATATATATATATATATATATATATATATATATATATATATATATGTTACAATAACGTCCACAAAAGTCTCAAGGCCGCATATTCAAACTAAACTTAAAATTCAAATGACATAAAAAACACTAGATAAACGGTCGACGCCGCCATCGTCGTCGCCGTCTTCAGTAGCTGCCGTCAGCCTCCTTGTCGTCCTTGGTGAGGTCGATGTAGGGTAGCAACTGCCACACGTAGGCACACGGCACCTGCGCCTGCTGCCAGGCGGGAGGCGCCTGCACCACCTTCGGCCATTGTGGTGACCATGCCTCGGTGCCCACCCACGAGGATGGCACGAAGACATACTCTGGCATGCACGGTATAGTCTATGTCCACGACCACGACTAGCGCACCATTGCCGGGTTGGAGGCCGCGTCATTGGGCTCCTATGGCACTTCCTCCTTCACGTCTTCCATGGCCTCCTCCTTGACCACGACGTCTAGCACCGGGATGGCGACGTCGCCAGCCGCGGAGAGGGCCATCATCTCTTCGAGGCTCTCCCATTGGGCCTCGTCGTGGGTACAGATGGAATCATCCATCACTCGCCTCATGAGCTCTGTCTCCTCCTCGGCGATTATCGGCGGGGTTGGTGACGGGGATGGCGAGGGGGAGGGTGTGGGCGTAAGGCCACGTGGCAGGCGCGGGCTAAGAGAGCGCGCCCGTGGTGGGCTCTGAGAATGACCGGCAAAGTACAACTGCCGATGCAGATCGTGCTCATCCCAGAACCACCTGTCTCACAGAGATGAGTCTACGGCGTACCTAACGTCGATGCCGAGGTAGGCCAGCAAGCGGCCCCAACGGCGGTAGATATCCACGTGGCGAGCGCGACCACTCAACGGGATCGGAGGAACATGCATGCGATTAACGCTCCACACGTCTCGGTCGCATTTTCTATCATTCACTTATGGTACACAACCTCCATCAAGTGAACAACCACACTGGGTCATATTATCGGGAAGGTAGGCCGCACCAACCTTCAATTTTAATATATATTTTGAGAAATTCATATTTAATTATTTTGTATGTACAGTTTGCCCTTTCCCAAGAATCATGGGCTCTTATATTCGGCCTAAATCACTGTGCCACTGTATCACGTACTACCTCCGTCCGGGTTTTTACTCCACATTGTATTTTTTATTATTAAAGCTTGACCACATATTTAACTAGCAAACTGCTAATACATGCCAACAAAAAATAAATATTATTGGATTCATATTTTTATGTAGTTATATAATAGTTTTTAATCAAAGTTTGGCAACATAATTAACTAGTGGCAAAATTCAGAACGAACTCATAAATAATATGTTTATACAACTCAATGATTGAAAGATCGTAACCAACATTTAGTTCATAGCTTGACAAATAAACTTTACAGGGGTGCTCAAGACAAAGTTGTGAGAAGGCTTAGAAATCAATACGAAACTTTTGCCCTTGGTACTAACATCGATGCTTCTCCGAGGAAACATTTGGTTCATAGCGAAAGAAAATTTTGCACCAAGGTGAAAGCCGGCTGCATCTCCAACGCAACCAGGGTGCATTGATGAATGATATCGGCGTCTTCGTGGCTACCAGCAAAGAGCACTGATGGAAGACGGCACCATTTTCATCCAACATCAACCAGCTTCACCGGCCGATGCAACCATGAGCATCGATAGGTCATCATGGTGATGCATCATCGATTTGGCATCAAGTTTGGGTGAGGTTCCACTGAAGTAAGATAAATCCTCGTTGTTGTCTGTTTCTTCCTGGTCATCAAGCTCGAGAAAGGTAAACCACGTGGCAGAGGACAATGAGGAAGAGCAACACTGCCCGTCCAATTGTGTGCAATTCCACTAAAATTGAGGAAGACATGACCTGGTATGGAGATATGCATTCCTGTTTGCAAAAATATATAAAAGGGATATTTAAGTAGCGTCGTTACTTTGTTTTGGCAGTGGTACAAGATTAACAGCGGCATCTCACATCAATAAGAATTAATGAAATGTACAACCACAATTAGAAGCATCGTGATTATCTTCATGGGGACTAAAGCAGGACAAAAGCATTTCTTAAAACAGTGTCATTGGCTCAATTTATCAACAACACTAGATTAACAACAGGATTACTTAAAAGGGACATTACTTTAACATGGGCATTGCTTCATTTTACTGTTTATCTATTGTCATGAGAAAGCGCTATTGTTTCATATGTTAATCTAAGGTCACTAATAAATTGAGGCACCGTTTCGCCATCGTTAGAACCAGTGACAAAATGAAGTAATAAACAGTTCAAGTAGAGTTGTTGTCTTTGCTATCATATCATTTCCCATGAGGATAATGAAAATGCATCTCTTTATGAGTATATATTTGATCAATTAGTCCCATTGTTAATGTAGTGGCATGTTTTAAATATTTCAACAAATAGGGATGCTTATTTTTAGTTGAACTACACAAGAAAACAGTGGAATGACTCGAGCAGTTTCTCTGCCGCCTCTCTCAAGGACTTCAAAAGGTTTCAACGAATTTCCTTCATGGTAAGATACCGGGGCCTGAAAATGAACTTGGTCTCACATAATCTTGCTAACAAAGGTCAGTACCGGCCTTCATCCACATGATCGTGATTTGTCATGTTGTGTTACTTATATTGTGGTATTGTTTTGAATAAATATTCAATTTAAGCTACTATATTGCTATCTGTCCCGTTAAGACAATGAAGATGCTTCTATTTGTGAGCGTATGTTTCATCAACTAGTACCACTATTTTTCTAATCACTTTTTCTGTATTTATGCAAACAAGGATGCTCAGCTTGATTTCAGTGGAACTGCACAAAATGTTAAGATGGTTCGTGTCCTCCATAATACTTCATCATGCATAATACATCGAATGATTCTCAAATCATTCATTGCCACCTTGAGCCACCAAACTAGCTACATCACTACTAAAGGATGCTGCTAACGCGACACTACGATCAGAGGCCCTTTGACGAAAGTGTGTGTGATGCATTAATCACAAACGTGATGTAAAAAACCCATCAAAAAGATGCAAAATATTTGCGATGGCGGAGACATCGAACATGGTTGAGATTTTAGTTGTGTGTGCGATGCGGGGCATACGGTTGATCCATACGAACTGTTTGCAATGAGACAGAACAATAGAAACGGGCAGCCATATCAAGGTGTGTGAGATATACGGCATATAGTTCACTTGGATCGACTGTTTGTGATTAGCAAACACAATAGAAACCGTCAGCCAGATCAAAGTGTGTGTGATATACGGCATATGGTTCACTCGGATGAACTATTTTTGATTAGGGAACATAACAGAAATGGTTCAACTTAATAAGATGTGTGTGATATGCGGCATACAGTTCACATAGATGAACTATTTGCGATGAGCCAAAAAAACACAAACGATCCATGTAAACAAGATGTGTGTGATATGCGATAAACAACCCAATATGTGTTCACACCTAGCACCGAGCTATAAAAACTACCCACTCGAAAATTACTTCACAGTTCCTCTCCTCACCACCCACATAACTGGTCTTTCCTATCAAGTCGTTCCACCATGACCGATAGGAGGAGTTTCGGGTGGACATATAACCAGGGAGCAAAGACCAAGGCCGCGGAAGCACTAGAGATGTCCCGCCGCTACGCGGCAACCGAGAAGAGATGTCCCAGCGTGTCGTGGAACCCTCGAACGAGCTCTCACCAGCACACGAGCTAGCATTGCTGAAGTCATTGGCCAACGACGACGACATTCTCGCTGGCCTCATAAGCAGCAGGAGTTGTTTAATGGCTTGATGAAGCTGCTCGAGATCAGCGATGCCTCGGTTGAGAAGGCGACCGGCCTCGTCGAGCAACTCATGGGTGAGAATGCGAAGCTCCTCAAGGCGCTCGCCGAGAAGGAGGAGGAGCGCCGGCTGGAAGATGTTGCATGAGCAGAGGAGTGCCTCGGGGATGATCCTGAAAGCGGTTGTCGAGGAACTAATGGGTGACTTGAGGAAGCTCCGGATCGAGCGCGAGCAGGAGGTGGAGGAATCTGTGGATGCTGTCAAGCAAAGTCATGAGGAACTGAAGGAGCTGGAGGATGTTGCCGCCCGGTGATCCATCGAGGAGTGGAGACAGTAGCGACCCAGATCGTTGTCTGCAATTTCCTTCTTCTCCTTCCCCCCGTGTCTTCCGGCTTTGCTGCATGTGGCATTTTAAATTATTCGGAATATGTAAGACAATTATTATCTGC